AAGTATATTAAGCAATTCATGAAAAATATAAAGCAATACATGAAAATAAGTAACGAAAAAATGAAGCAATGCATAAAAACATGAATTATTCTATAAAAAAATAATTTGAAAAAAAAAGAAGTGAAAATAAGTTTAAATAATTTAATCTGCTTATGAAGAATCGTGCATAAATAAAATTGCACGTACTTGTGTTAGATTTTTAGGCAATACAAAACTTGATATACTTATTCCAATTTATCCTATGCAAATAATATGTATTTCAAGTTCCATTTACGTTTGTATCTTTTCAGCACCGCCATAAAATAAAATAAAATAATTAAAGCAAACAATAAAATTACTTTATAAAGATTAAATAACGAAAAGAAATCCTCATCTGGCCAAAATACAATGTTTATTTTCGAAATATTTTTAGATAGCCCAACCATAGCCATTAACCTCTATATACAGCTTTATTTACTATACAACAATGTCAGAAAAGAAATAAAACTTTATTTTTCCCTTTCTGGCAGTAAATCCTTTAAACTTACGTCCTAAGCGCGTGTATTTATTTTAAAGCATTAAGCAAACATGTCCGTACATGTTTCTCTTTTCGAAGACAAAAGAGCCGTGAGAGGGTGTAAGTAGCAGATTAGGACCGTCCATTATCTCTATTCCTATTAAATCTTTCATCTCTAGTGCTTTCTCTGTCTATAGGTTTCTTGCGAGATAGTATCTGGAGTGTGTACGGCTATCAAATTACGTTAGAGGAGAATTGCGTAAGCCTTTAACGTTGACCGGGAAAAATGGTGATAATCGTATTTAACGTATATATCATATCTAGACATTAGATAAGAGAGAGAAATGGTGGATATTATTATCCGTTATTGGTCGTAGATATCGATGATTTTTAGAAGAAGGTTAAATAAATATTTTAACATACGTTGTTTCTAACTCTTTTTGTTGTTGGTGATATTTTTCGTTTCTTTGAACAGTTGCTATATTGATTTTTTACTCTATGGTCTTATATGATCTTTTGTATCTTTTCTACTCTATGATTTTATGAAGACTTTTGCAACTTTCCTACATATGCTTGCTAACTAAATATTTCAACATACGTTGTTTGCAACTCATTTTGTTGTTGGTGATGTTTTTCGTTTCTTTAAACAGTTGCTATATTGATTTTTTACTCTATGGTTTTATCAAAACTTTTGCAACTTTTCTACTCTACGGTTTTATGAAGACTTTTGCAACTTTCCGACATATGCTTGTTTTTTTTGTGAAAAGGAGATTGGTGTTTATTTTTTAATATTTTTAATTTTGAAAAAAAAAAAAAGCATTTTTCTCGTAGAGGATGACTTATTTTATTGCATTTTTCTTAAAGTTTCCATGGATTACTGATGTAACTTTCCTACTTTATGGTTTTATGAAAACTTATGCAACTTTCCATTTTGTAGCTCCATTAAAATTTTTGCAGCTTTTCTACTCTCTGGTTTTATGAAAGCTTCAGTATTAATGAACTGTAATATATTTCCAGTTTAAATATTTTTGTTGTTAGTATGTTTGTAACTCTTTTTGTTGTTAGTATGTTTTTCGTTTCTTTAAACAGTTGCTATATTGATTTTTTACTCTATGGTCTTATGAAAACTTTTGCAACTTTTCTGCTCTATGATTTTATGAAGACTTTTGCAACTTTCCAACATATGCTTGTTTTTTTGTGAAAAAGAGATTGGTGTTTATTTTTTAATATTTTTAATTTTGAAAAAAAAAAGCATTCTTCTCGTAGAGGATGATTTATTTTATTGCATTTTTCTTAAAGTTTTCATGGTTTAATGATATAACTTTCCTACATTATGGTTTTATGAAAACTTTTGCTTTTCCATTCTATGGTTTAGTAAAATTTTTTGCAGCTTTTCTTCTCTCTGGTTTTATGAAAGTTTTAGTATTAATGAACTGTAATTTATTTCCAGTTTAAATCTTTTTATCGGTGAAACACTCGGTATTATAAAATTATGATTGGCTTTACAATTTCTTAATGGAGTGATTAAAGAGCATTACTTAAGATATGTGTCCTACAAAAAAATATTTTGCAACTTTTCTACTCCATGGTTTTAAGAAAACTTTTCTACTCTATGGCTTAGGAAAACTCATGCAACTTTTCTTCCTTCTATGGTTTTATGAAAACTCATGCAACTTTTATTCCTTCTATGGCTTTGTGAATATTTAAGTATAAATAAATTGCATTTTATTTCAAGTAAAATCTTTTCATATTGTTGAAATATTCTGTATTAAAAAATTCAGAATGGCTTTGCTATTAAGTAACAATGCTATTCCAGATCATTAATGAAATTGCATCTCTTCTGTAAAGACAATAAAATGTTCTTTTATAATCGATATCTTTTATCGAACTCCTATACTTATAAATTCCGAATCTATTTCGATTTTTTTTATCGTTTATTCTGAAGCGCATTGAACCCTTAAACCGAAAACATACGTAATCGGCAGAAATATGCGATTGTCCAATCATTTATCAAATTTTAATATTGCTCCTGCCTTTTTTGTCGTTTTCTTATTTATCCGAAGAATGCACTTTCATAATTTTGATAATGGTATTTCATAATGCTAATGATCTTCCTATCTGTCATTAAAAAGCTCATTTCTCGATTTGCGTTTTGACTGAAATTACATTTTTACTTAATGAATTTGCCGCTTTTGTAATTATTTTTTTTTTCAACAACAAATATTTTTGAGAATTTCCGTTGTTTGGTAAACAGATTTGCATTCACCTGTTAAATCATACTCGTATTTTCTTATTTAACCATTGTTTCATTCGCGAATTTTTGTTTTATATTCTTAAATGATGTTTATCAATTATAAGTTGCTCTTTTTTATTAAACTGAGAACATCGAGATGTAATTTTTATTAAGCTCGAAATTATTTTATTTATGGACGTCCTTATAAATATTTATTTATTATTTTGTTGGAGAAAGTGTAAGCTATTTAAAATAGTCATTATGTTAATGAATTTAATAAGCAAACCGTGAAAAATCTTCGAAAAATGTTTTTTGTAGTTCATTTATGAAAATTTTATTTTATAATTTCGTTTAATTTTATTGAAAAAATAATTTGATAAATAAATGTAATTTTATATGCTTTTCCTTCTGTGGGAGAGAGATTTTTATTATTTTATATATGTTTTCTTTAAATTACATTTTTCTTCTAAAGGATGTTTATTTTTTTCTTCCAAACTCGTGCTAACCTAACCAAGCCTAATTAATTAAAAAATAACACAGATAATACTAATTAATTTGATACAATTCCAATAGTAGTACTAATAAAAGGATTGCAGTGATAATATTATCAGTATTGATAATACTAATACTGGAAAATAATACTAGCTTAGTGTAATGAAAAATAATACTACAATAAACCAAACTTGCATTTAAAAATGCTTAAATAAATCTTAATAGAAAATTGACAGAAAGGAGAAGTTGATCCTTTTAAAAATTTCTAAAATTAAACTAGTTTATCATTTATTAATGCGACAAGTGACATTAATTTAATCCCAACTTTTTCTTAAACCTAAAAACGAAGTATTGCCGAGAAAAACAACTAAACTTCACTAATTTCAGTGAAAGCTCATTGGACAAGAAAAGAGCAAGGATAAAAAGAGAAGTAAAAGTTATAAGACATTACAGGCGTTAAAGGGATAAGACTCATACCCCCCACGCCCTTTCTAAGCCGTATGAAGGACAAAAGAATGTTAGAAAAAAGGACTTGACAGGACTTGTGGATCGGTCAAAACAATTACGAACTTTGGGAAAAACAGGAAAAGTGCTAAGTCTTGTCATTGACCAAGCCAAGGATGTTGATAACAAGATTGGGAAGCGAGATGACTTTATTAGCTTTTAATTACGGTTTATTTCTGGGTCCCCCCACCTCCTTTTTCTTAACTTATCTGGAAAACTTTTTTTTTGTGTGTGAAAATGTTGGTTTCCGATTGGAGTGATGTTTTTTTTGTGTGTGTTTTAATTTTTTTTTCTAGTTTTTGTTAGTGATGAGCATTTGATGAAATAAGGCAATGAAGTTAAGAACTCAGATTATGGTTTGGATATAACAGGAAATAAATGCCGCCTGGCTATTGTAGTTATGACTACTCTTAGGTGATGCAATTACTCTACGAAGTTCATTGTCTTTAACTTAAAGCTAGTGATAATTTTAAATCTTTGTAATAAATTGTTACCAATAGTAGCATTAGAAATATCACATATGAGAGTCACAACTAATGTAGATCGATAAAACCAGAGCTTCAAGTGCTAATCGTTTTAATGTTCACAAAAAGCGCGCGTCAATGTTTGAGTATTAATGCTAATTGCTAACCTAAGTAAGTTCTAATACAAAGTTTGAACAATCACCATGAATAAACTACTTGATACACTAATCTGATGCTAATGAAGCACTGCTTGATGCTAAAGAAGCACTAATCTGAAGCATTGAAAATTGAAATTAATGTTGTCATTGATGAATGCAAATGTAATTATTATCCTATTTAGGAAGTATTTGTTGGCCTTCTGATACTCTGGTGTGCCATCTAAGAATGCTACTTAGGTTAGCACTAAGCATTCTTAAATGGCACATCAGAGTTCGACGCATGAAGGCCAACCAATCTGTTAATAGACTAATAATTGCATTGGCATTCACAAATAGCTACACTACTTTCAATTATCAATGCTTTAGATTAGTGCATCTTTACCTAGCATCAAGCAGTTGATGTAATGATGTAAGGTTACCCGATACAAATCTGTTGGTAATCGTTCTAGCTTTGTATTAACTTTAGACTGTAAAATTCACTGTTTAAAATTTTACGATGTAATTTTTATATGGAAGAATATGCTTTTTTTTGTCATGGGATATTTATTCTAAATGAACTATGCATATATTTTACCCAATTTATGCTTGTTGACATATTTATGACTGCTTTTTATTTTTATTTTTTATTTATTTGTTTTTTTATTTCTTCTCAGAACCATCAACCGTCCACCTGTCTCGATGGAGTCCGGAGAATCGAGAAGAAGACATTCACAATACTATGTCCTGTTATCCTACTGAGTCTCGAGGTTTCTTCTGGAATTGGACCAGAGCTGGACATGTGGCCGTTCACAAATGCCCGAATGGAGCCTTTGGTAAGTAAAAAGAACTGCAGAGTCTAAACATATTTATTATAAACTTGTCTTTGCAGTCATTAAATTTATGACAATTCCGTTACGGTAGCAAATGGAACAGATAATTAATACTCTGCTTGACACAATTATTTTGATAGATATATGCTTGTTTCGACAATATTTGAAAATTATAGCGTGTAATTGACACAAAGTTAAATTTTTGAAAGTGTTAATCTGCTTGATAAATGCAAAATAATTTTATAGAAAAAGAGCTACATAATTTCTCAATCGTAAGCATATTTATCACTAACTTTTCTTTCAGTCATTAAATTTATAACGATTTTATTGTGATAGCGAATAGCCAATTGACACAGTTATTTTCATAGATATACTCTAAGTTTCATATTCATTGTATTTTCGAATTTAGTCTTACACATCCGCAGATAAGTTGATTTGAAGGTTTTTTTTTTTTGGTACCATCTGTTTCCTTTTCAATTATCTTCTTTAGTTTGAAGCTTTCGAATCTGCTTTGTTCGATTTTAAGAATTAAAAATTATTCCAAAGTGTTTGACAGAATCTTTGTTTCTGTTTTAAAATTGAGTTCCACCCGACCATTCCCGCTATTATTTTCCCCCCCTCCTTTGATTTAACGAAAATTGCTAACAAATCTAACGTGCTCCTATGGGATTAGAATTCAGAAGCTAGATGCGAATTGCAGTTCAGTTTTTTTACAGTTGCTGCATTGCAACTAATGGTCTCATCGTTTTTTTACTAGGCTATAAAGTCATTATTTATGCATGTTCCTTACAGATATATTTATCCAGTTCGAACTTTTCGAACTCCCCCTTGCCCCTCAGGGAATTCGAACAGGGGGGCTTGTACTGCGATCTGTTGGTGGCTTTTGAAAGCAATTACAGTAATTTCCCGGCGGCGCCCCCTACCAGTTTTAGTAGGCCCCAGGTGATGTGGGCCACTCCTGGGATTGCTCCCCTGCATCCGAGTACATCCAATCAGAAATGGTAATGTGGTTCTCTTTTCCTGCAATATGGCGGGCAAGATGAAAAAGTTCCAATCCTCTTACTACATAAACAAGAAACTAGGAGTTTATATAGCCTGTCCTGCGGGGCATTAATACAGCTAGCCTCAAATGAATTAAGCCCAGTGGGGGTGTGTAGATAAACATACTCTGTTTAGAGCGGCTATGGCCAAGTGTTTGTTCTAGGCTACTGCTGCTTAATAGCTCAATAAATGCGCGTTCATTATTATTCCCATTGCTTCCCACACCCTTTGACAAACTGCTCCAGACTTCCTAATGAAAACTCTGGATCTCCCTTCCTCCAGATTCTGCGTGAAAGCAACTTGAGTAATTTTTTTTAAAGAGTTGCAAGATTTTTCTTAAGAACTTCAATGACAATCAAGGTAGATTAATGTATAAAAACGTCAGTTTTAGTTTAAATGGTAATAAATATTGGCCATAAGTAGATCGATCTACAAAAAATGTCAGTTTTAGTTTCAACAATTAGTCTTTTAGTTTCAACAATTAGTCTTTTAGTTTCAACAATTAGTCTTTTAGCTTCAACAATTAGTCTTTTAGTTTCAACAGTTAGTCTTTTAGTTTCAATAAGTAGTCTTTTAGTTTCAACAATAAAGTCTTGTGTACAGAAAATGGCTGTTTTGGTTTCAATGGTATTGGTTATCTATAATAGCCAAAAATCGATTGATCTACAGTTGATAAGAAAATAAGTTTTAGTTTCAATAGTTATCAATATTAGTCAGAAGTAGATCCATCTATGAAAAATGAGTTCTAGCTTCAACAGTAACTAATATTAGTCAAAACTAAGGTCTATATAAAGAAAATGGCAGCATTAGTTCCAATGGTATTAGTAATCAATATTAGCTAAAAAATAGATTGATCTACAGTAAATGTTAGTTCTGGTTTCATGGTAATCAGTTATAGTCAAAAATTGATTCTATTTTAGGACAGTTTGTTTCAATGATTATGTTAGTCGAATTTTGAGTTTTATAGTTAGCTCTCGGGCCATAAAATGAGTTTCTAAAACAGTTTATCTAATTTTAAAACTGTCCAGTATTTTAGTACTTGATGGTTCAGAGATTAGCTTGTTAAACGTGTTTCTTCGGTTGAGATCTCGGTGATGGCCAAATATTTTTTCACTAATGTTCTAAATTTTTACAACATAAACTGCTGTTTGTAGAAAATGCAACACCATGAAAGAATCATCAGAATCAAATGAAATTTAATGCAGAAACGACTTGTACTGATACAAATAAATGATGAAATTTTCAAAACAAAAGAAACAAATTAAGCGTCCGAAATCAGTATTTGGTGCAGCCACCACGCGCTGCAATAAGTGCTGCTATACGACGTGGCATGGAGTCAAACAGATGTTGAATATCTGCTTGAGGAAGAGAATTCCATATCGCTTGTATGCGCAACCAAAGTTCGTCTTTGGAAACTGCAGGACGCGGATCACGAGTGAGACGCCGACCAACCATATCCCACACGTGCTCAATAGGCGACATATCCGGCGAATAAGCAGGCCAAGGAAGAAGTTGCATGCGTTGTGCTGAACAGAAGTCTCTAACAGTCCGCGCAACATGTGGGCGTGCATTATCCTGCTGAAAGATAGCTCCAGGGATGCCTTGAAGGAAAGGAACGACTTCGGGCTGTAGCACTTCACGGACGTATCTGTTGCTATTGAGATTACCCTCAATTCGTATCAAATTGGATCGTCCATGATACGAAATCGCACCCCAGACCATAACTCCGGGTGTTCGACCACTATGTCGTTCAATAATACACTCAGGAAGGCAGCGTTGACCGGCATAACGTCTAACACGAACACGGCCATCATGGGTCCACAAATTGAAGCGTGATTCATCTGAAAAGACAACTTGGTGCCAATCAGCTCGCCAGTCTCTGTGCTCAAGAGCCCACTGCCGACGCAGCCGTCGATGATCCGCCGTGAGGGGAATCCTGTATAATGGCACCCTTGCACGCAATCCACGGCGCAGCAGACGACGACGAATTGACGAAGCCGACAATTGTACACCTGTAGCAGTAGACCAATGTGCTGCCAGCTGCCTGGAGGAAGCTGTGCGATCATTCACCGCCATGCGGAGCAGGTGTCGATCATCGCGCTCTGACGTCACCTTCTGTCGTCCAGTGCCTGTTTTTCGAGTTGTTCGGTGCTCGTCGGTCCACTGCTTCCAAACTCGCATCACTGTGGAACTGTTCCGCTGCATACGAGCTGCTATTGCGCGATAGGAAAATCCTCCTTCTCGAAGGCCGATTATCCTCCCTCGTTCAAACTCCGTAAGTTGCTTGAATTTCTTATTCTTCCGTCGTGGAGGCATACTCAGGTCTCACTAAACGTTTGCCACTAACAAATAATCATAGACTATTTTCAACGTCCCGCTACAGCACTTTATTTATACGCTTTCAGCATCAATTCAGAGGGCGCTGCGCGCGCCACGCACGCGCGATGGCTCTGAAACTTTATTAATTTGCATAATATCCTATATCCATTATTAAAATAATATTTCATTTGATTCTGATGATTCCTTCATGGTGTTGCATTTTCTACAAACAGCAGTTTATATTGAATTTACGATAAAAAGTAATGGCGACTTAAGTGCCAGTACTTTAGCTGTAAACTTTTATATTTTATTATATATCTATCAGTATTTGTATACAAACTTTAGGAATAAAATTAAAATTTGAATCATTTCTAAAGCATTTGTTACTGTTTTGAAAATAAATAATAATTATGACTTTTTTTCTTGCTTGTTTGCTTTAACGTCAAGAATATAATTTCACTAAATTCATTCAATGGTTTATTAATTACTGCTAGACTATCCGAAATCCAGCTTTAATTTACGAACTACAATTTTCATTTTGCTTACTACAAATCAAATTAAATTAGTCGCTGTGTATAAATTTTACACTATACATTTCCTAAAATGTTCTCCAAGGGTTGAAACTATTTGTTACCAACATTAATTTGCTGCATATTATCAAATGGATTTCAATAACAAATTTCTCATATTTACTGACTTAAATGATCGGTTCTATGTGTTCTAGTTGTGCTTTTGCGAAATAGTCATATATTTATATCCCACTAGCTTCCGATCTAATCCCGAACTGTTTAAAATTCACGAAATACATAACCTGCTCCTTTTGGAATTATTCCTTCTAACGGTTAGCGAGATATTGCCAAAATCCCCCCCATTCAAAAGCATGCCAGTGTAATTGGATAAAGGGAACGCTATGCCAATGCGAACTGCTCCTGGAGTTTTGGAAATCCACGTTTTGAATAAATCATTTCCATATTCTTATAAGCTGGATTCTTGGACCTATGTACTGAGTTTGATAAACAGGCCATTTCCATTTTGGGGTTCTGGGACTCTTAATAAGTTGGCAGTGCTTGCGATGGTCCATCAGTGTTTGAGAAAGCGTATCTACTTTCTGCTGTCCCCAGAAGCCAGTTAGCCAGGACTGGATGTTTGCTTGGGAAAGATACATCCAAAGTTGTTTGTTTCTGTTGGGGAATCGGGTAGGTATTTGTTGGCAGAGTATGTTCTGGACAAATAAATGTAATGGCTTTTCTGCGGAAATTAAGAGGAGGAATTCCCCTGTGGTTGTAACTGTCGATGACAGATTAAAAATATTTTTTTAAATTTCAATGATGATTCAAATTTATTTAATTTTATGTATGTTGCTGTGATAAACCAAAATTAGTTAAGGTTAAAATTTACTTTATAACTTTGGTATAGGTTCAAAATATTTCTTAAACAAACCTGCGCTTGATTCTTTTTTTTTTTTTTTTTTTTTNTTTTTTTTTTTTTTTTTTTTTTTTTTTTTTTTTTTTTTTAATATAACTATTTCTGACTACTTTCTGACTTATTTCTTCCTTCAACATATGCAAATGTTGAAGGAGGATTTTAATGTTAACGGGGGCAATGGTGAATGTTGATTTTTTTTTTTTAAATTTCATGCTTTCTTGCTTAGTCCGGCAAATGTTTTCATTGTATTCATTGATGGTAAATGTTGGTTAATTTTTTTTTCGGTTATTATTAATATTTCTGACTTCCACTGGCAAATGTCTGTGTATAAGATGTGCAAATTGATTGTGAATGGTAATTTTATTTTTCTTATAAATTCACTACTTTTTGCCTTACACCGGCAAATGTCAACCTGTGCAAGTTGTTAATATTGATTATTTTTTTAAATATCACTATTTCTTACTTAGACTGGCAAATGTTTGTCTTCACTATTCTTTAATGTTAAATATTTTTTCTCGTTTAATATTATTATTTCTCAATTATACTGATAAATGTCTGCATTCAGCATGTCTATTTTCATAAAAATAATATTTTATTCCTTAAACGGGGTTGTTGAATTTTTTTTTTGAATGCTTCTTTACTGACATCTAGCAAAATCTGTATAGATCTTAAACATTGGGTATTATTTATAACTGTTGCTTAATCTCCGGACGATCACAATAAATTTAATGTAAAAAAAGAGAAAGAAAACTTTAATTATTTCTTTTATTTTTACCGGATTTTATCTAACATAAAGCATTTCTTATAAGAATCATCTATGTTTTAGTGGTTCATTAGAAAAAAAAACAACCTTTTTCTTTGAAAAATTTTAAAGTCAGGCAAAGAGATACAAATATTTTCGTATTCTCAAGAACCATCCGCAAACAAGCATATACCTTCTTCTCTTCGTTAAATCTAAGAATGGACCCTTTTGAAAAAAGCATGGAATAAATAAAAACATTCGATGTTGTGTGTTTCGTTATTCAGGGGGTGTTTGAGGCGAAGCTCGAACGATAATGACCCTGTTCCCTACCACGTGCCGCCAAAGCTTTTGAAGTTGTTGCGAGGAAGTTGGGAAAAAAGTAGAATAAATGAAGTGAAACAAAAATCACAATGAATAGAAAGTGGGAAAAGGTTTGGAATTTTATACAAATACAATTAATCGTTGTCTTCCTTTCAGTTGAACATTTGAATACTAATGTTCTGGGGGGCCATGACAATGACTGGGAAGCCCTTAAATTGTAAAGGAAGTTTTAAAAAAAGACGTAAAACAGCAGGTCTTCCTGAAGAATCTGAGGTACTTTATTTTCTAGCAGCTAGAACATTCTTTTTTTTCTTTCGTACTTTTATTTGTCAGCTAATTTATTATATCACTATCTTTGGTTGTTGCATTCGTAGTATTTATTTTTATACTCTATGAAAGGCTTTAAAAATTTTTTTTAAAACATATAAGCTGAGATTTTTTAAGTTTCGATACATTTAAATTTTTTATTCAAATATTTTTCATTGATATTATATAATCAATATGATTATATAATATTCTATAATTGTAGGTATACATATTTTAACTCTATTTAAATCTTTACTATTATAATATTTGCTATGTATTTTTATTTTATAACCGTCGTTGAATAGCTGACCCAATTTTTAAGTTTACGACTACTAATATTCAACTCCGTAGCCTTGTAATTTTGAACTGAATAAAAAAAATTGTTGTTGTAGTTAATTTACGCCACACTAGAGCTGCATAATGGGCTATTGGCGACAGTCTAGGAATCATCCCTGAGGAGGATCCGAAGACATGCCATCAAAATTTTGATCCTCTGCAGAGGGGATGGCACCACCGCTTCGGTAGCCCGACGACCTGCATGCAAAGCTTAGCACTTTACGGTAGCACAGTTTAACGAGGACCAATACCGCACACCCTCGATTCCTAAGCAAACTAATCCAAGTTGTTACCCACCGCAGCCAGTGATGCTTGACTTCGCTGATCTGCTGGGAACCGTGACTTAACCATCAGTCCACTGCGGGACAAAAAATGTTCAAACTATTTTTTTTATTAATATTTGTTTCTAACGAATTTTTGATTCATTACCACGCAAATAAAAATATAACCCAACTAGAATTTATGTTAAATTAATATGATTTTGTTAAAAGACACTCATCCAAAACATATGTTTTAATTTTATATTTTTCACACGCAGAGCAAGGCAATAAAAAAGAAAATTGTCACCCTAATAGAATATCATATAATAAATTTTATCAAATTTGATAGCTGATCGAAATGGTTTAGTTTATTTTTCCTGAAAAATTACTCTTGACACGTTTATTTCTTGAAATAATTTCTTGAATATATAACCCTTGACTATTTGTTGTAGGACTAAGTCTTTTTCTCTGTTTTGCTGCAAATGCTAAAAATAAATATATTTATTCATTAGGAAATGGCAACTCACGTAGTTTGCAAACATAGCACATCATTCTATTTTGTTGTGTAAAAATTTGAGAGTGTAAGAAACTGACTTGATTATGCAGATTTCTGTAACAAAAGCCACTGGCTACGTTTGATACTTTGGGCTATCTTTAAAAAACGCCAAGGATTCTTCCGTAAACAAATTTATATTTACTTTAATATTCCTTCTTGTAGTTGTGTGTTTTGGCGCATTTTAATAAGGTCTAACTTTTCGTGCGTTAATGCTTTGCTGGTTGTAGAAAATACGATCTTTAAGCTATGCCGTTCTTCTGCGTTTTATTCTGAACTTAATTATGTTTACTTTTAAAGAATTGCATCTACAGTAATTAGTGACTGAATTTGTTTAGTTTTTAATTATCTAATTTTGAACTTAAACTTGCGTTTTTGATTGTCTTCTTAACGAGTTTAATTAATTTTAGTGTGTGATAAAATTTGTTTGTTTGCTTGATAGTTTCTGTTTACAATTAAACAATTTGAGAATAAATCCGTTGGAATGTCTCGAAAATTAATTTTCGACGCGATTTCTTTTTAATGATATTATTATGCACAACCTTTATATCTATCACATTTTCGTTATTTACTTCAATTTTATTGATACCTTTTTAATAGGAATAAAGAAGCTATTCAGCTGAAATTTTAATCCTTTTTAAGTTTAGTTTTGTTTAAGAGTACACAATTGGGATTGGCCAATTCATTTTTATGTTTTAATTACTGTGCTGTTATTTCATATAAAACTTCCAGCGTTTAGATTTTATTAGTTACAGTCCATACACCAAGACACATGGGTTAAATATAACTAATCTTTTATTATCAGAATCGCAAGTAATCGAGTTCGAACATGATGAGAGAAACAAAAATTGCTGTAAAATAAGATTACTTTTTGTGGGAATGAAAAAAAAATTTTTTTTTTAAATATTCGAACACAATTTTCATTTATAATTTTTTTTCCACAATAAACGCTGCTACCTTAGTAGTATTTGCTACCCAAAATAGTTACAATTTGAACGTTTAAATATTTCTCACAAAATCACAGTTTTTGTTGTATATGCTTAGATGTTCGATTACGATTGGATATTTGCAAGCGACGTCACGCGTGGCTCAGCTAATCAGGTTCACCACACACCACGTGCGTCACTTGTAGTTATTCAATTAAATCTGAACGGAAAATAGATTCAGCCTGATAATGTACCTAATCCTTAAAGCTGTAACATTAACTGTAACACTACACGCTCAATCACGTGATTAGATTCGACTATGTAATTAGTTGCAAGTACCATATTGCTAATTTATAGTATTATTAAAAATCTATATTTCTAATTACGATTTCTTATAGAGTAAAGCTTTTGCACCAAACAGTTCTAACTATCTGTAATTCTAAACTGGTAAATGATGTAATCACTGTAACTGCTTTAACTTTGCTTCAGAATGCTCCGAAATCATTGAAAATTATTGCTTCAGATTGTCCCCAAAACATCCAAAAATACTGCTCAGGATTGCACCAAACCACTGAAAATTGCTGCTTTTAACTGCTCCCAATCATAGAAAATCGCTGCTTCATACAGCTCCAAAACCGATGTAAATTGCTGCCTTAGATTATTCAACTATTGAAATATGTTGCTTTAGATTGCTCCAAATCCATAGAAAATTCCTGTTTTAGAAAACTGCTGAGTAATCGAATATTTCTCCTTTGGTCTGCTATAATTAAAACATGAAACCTCGAATCACATCACAGTTAAAAATTTAATTAATTCAGAATAATTATCTTTCATAAATTATATCTCTTGCATAATCATATCAAATGACTGTAAATTTATTAGTTGTAATCATAGAATTGTACTTAAAACGCAGTATAACAGTGCTCAGTACTACAACTACTAAAAAATAATAATTCTTTTTTGTTCCAGGTCGTGTAAAGTGGCGTTGTGATGCCGAAACAGTGCAGTGGATTCCAGAAACTCCCGATTTTAGTGATTGCAGCTCTCTTTGGGTGGAGAATATAAAATCCAGGGTAGGATATCATTTTATTGTTACATTTAAAAATGTAAAATTTTTGTACCATTTCAGGGGTCTGTTTAGAAGGAATTTGGGTCCGTTAACGGACCCTTCACAAAATATCTTTTCATAAAAACGGACCCTTCACAAAATATTTTAACTTAAAAACGGACCCTTCACAAAATATTTCAACTTAAAAACGAACCCTTCACAAAATATTTTAACTTAAAAACAGACCCTTCAAAAATTTGTTTATCTTCATTATTATTTTGTCAATCGAATAAACCCTTTCCAGGGCAGAAAACAGGAAAGATGGATGTAAACGAATTAAGTTTTGTCTTCGGCAGACGATTCTTCCATTATTCGTCCGAAATGAATATTCTGCGTTCAGCAGTATAGGCTAAATATCAAATGTTGCATCTCTAATTTAGAAGCAGCAATTGCTGTTTATTTTTGAAAATTTAATTTTTTTATTATAATTTTACAGTGCCGAGCATAATCTTGTTTCTATTTACAATTTAAAAAGTCCTTGAAAAAGTCTTTTTTTGCAATAACGGACCCTATTTGCACAAATTCATAAAAGCGGACCCTGGTTGAAAGAATGTGAGTAATTTTTTCACAATTTCACGAAAAACGGACCTTTCACAAAATGTCTGGACAGACCCCTGCATTTTCATTACTTGTACTTTGGAATGCCCACATTGGCAGTCAAAATCCTTGTAAAAACATTGCGAACTTAAAATTATTCAACATATTATGAAGATATTATATTTTTTATTATTATATGTTTATAATTACTTGAAAAAAATAGAAATATCAATTATCAAGTATTATGAAGACATAGTATTTGTTACTGTTTCGTGGTTCTCAGCAGTAGGGGGCAGTGTCTGCAGATGTTGTACAACTTCTGGTAGAAGATTCGCTAGCATAGTCTATTTTTTTAGCAACATCTTACAAGACAATAAAATCAATGAAATGAAAGTTTTCAAACTTAGCCTCCAAAGAAAAAAAAAAATTCCATTTATCTATAGTCGCATAATCATAATTTACATATTTTGATTTGCTATTCAAAGCTTTTGATTATTAGCATGACTATATATTATATGGTCATTAACCCACAAATAGTTAATTGTATTGTTAAATATTATCAAAAGTCACATTGAGCTTTTTTATTTTTAATTCAGAATTTTTATACCTTAAATAAATATTTAACTCATTTTGCTCTTTTTTTGGTGTCGTAAAAAATATAAAAAACAATTTTGTTTACCATATAAAAACAGCTATTGATTTAAAGCTGTATTGATAGCGAGAAAACACATGTGAGTTATATGTGACCGCCGTACATCTTTTTCGATAAATGTGTAAATACTGTAATTTAATTTTCAAATTTCTTTTTTACACTTTTTATAACGCATTCAATACATTTGCTAAATTGGTTTATTCTGATAAGGGTTCTTTCTTTTCCTTCCTTTTTTTTCATAACTACTCTTAATTTCATTTTTAGCGCTTTTTTTTCTTCTTAATTCAATCGATTCTATTCATAACCTACCATGCATATAAAAGGTAGATGAATGTTTTTCAGAAATAATTTCACATGCACACAATTCAATATAAAGAATGTATTTCTTTGGAAAATTCTCAAAGGACATTTATTTTTACTGCAAATTTCAACCATTTTATTTTCCTTCGGCTTTTATCTTTCATTTCCTAATCTGATAAAACTGTTCACTCCAGGATAAATTTAATTCTTTCCTTTCAAAGCGATTAAATCTTGGAAAACGGTAATGTTTATCTTTTCGATTATTGATTCGCAAATAATGATTTTTTTTTAAAAATTTTTTTTCTTTATTCTCATATACCTACTTTTTTTTCCTACTTAGAATCTAAAATGAATTGAAAGTAAGAAAAAATCTCGTCATGTCATTCTCTTTTTCTGTGTTTCATTTCACTTCATAAAAGGGTTTTTAAAAAATATCGTTTGCGATTTTCGAAAAGTAAAAACGATTTCGCAATAGCGAGTTTATGATTATATGCAGTAATTTTTTCCCTTCTTTCCACATTTTTTTGTTCGTTTAAATTTGTTTATTTTAACATTTCCCCATGGGCGCTCTTTTTCAAAAAAAGATTTTTTTCCGTCCTTTGCAAATGCCATAAAGTGAAATTCTTTTGATGCTATTTGAAAAGGAATCTAATTTATTTATAACTAAACTGGGGGGAGGGGAGCATGTAGATTGCTGTATCTGTACCGCAAGAGATTACTCTGATTAAAATTCCCTAAAAATATTTCCAGTTTTTCCTTTTTAATGAACTGTCTCCCTTTCTGCTCAAAGCAGTAAGCGTTGTTATAAATGCATTACCATTCCTTAACGTTTTAGACTGATTAAAATGCATTTCGTATTTTTTCTACTTCCTATTTTGTTCACAATAAACTTCTACACGCACATGCAAACAAAAAAGTTGAATTTGATGGTTTAGTAAAAAAATAAAACTGGACATCTAAATTTATATCCTTTTTTGTATATAAACTTAATTTTTAGCATTAAAGATTTTAAACATTAAAATTATTAAAACACATTTTCAAAATTTGTTTTTAAGGCTTTAAAATTATAAAAAAAGTAACTTTTTTCCTGCAAATTATTTTATCAGCAACTATAGTACGTAATAATCGAAAATGGTATATCATATTAGAATATTTTTGTTTCAAAAAGAATATTTTTTATTTAACTTAATTATAGATTGTAGCAATTCAATTCATTTTTAAGATCTTTAAACTGTTGCATTGAAAACTAGATTATTAAATTTTTCAAAAAATTTTCATTTGGAAATGAATGCTAACTTTTTATTTATTTGTTTATTTACATGGCTCTTAGGTATTTTCGGTAACTTTCATGGATTCTAAATCACAAAATTACAGAAGTCCATTTAAAACTTTTGATAAATACAGTCTTCCGACTTATTCTATTAACTATATTCTTTTTTTTATTACGGATTTTAGTGTAGAATACGGAGTTACAGAAAGACTTTCAGAACTACCGGTTAGTCCAATTCATTTTTTTTTTTTTAAATAACTACTAAAGATTATCTATACTTCCCACGGGTTTTAAAAACAGCATTGCAGAATATCTTTGTAAACTACAAAAATGTCCATTCTTTATTATGTTATTTTACAACTATCAGGATACGAGCAAATCGTAAGTCAAAACTTTCGTTTATCGAAATCTTCTTTAGCTTGCAAAAGTCTCTAAAACAAACATTTAAGCAAATAATTTTGCAAAAAGAATTTAGTCCACTTTATGAGTCAGCTTTTTTCATGGACAGTTAGGTATTGATTTTCCTTTTATTCTTTTTGGAACTTAAAAAAGAAACCTTCGTTCTTACAAATGGATTTACGAGTCCTGTTTTTGGAGATAAATGCTATAGGGATTTGTTTCAACACCTATCGAAAGTGCACGTGGCATCCGGAATCGATTAATCGATTGACAAGAGCAAACAACAATCGATATCCAAGCCTACAAGTATTAAACCCCCTATCTGACCAAATGACACTTTATAAGAAAATTTTTATGACTTTCTATATGTAGTGTACCGATTTTAGGGATATTCTACGATTTTTTTTTCCATCTCTCCTCTGCTATTTTATGTTTTGTAAGGGTGGGCCCTTCTGAAGTAATCATCGAAGGGCACGTGCACCCCCGCACAGCATCGCTGCCCGGAATTTGTTCTTTTGTGCGAATATTGGAAAGTACTTCAAAACAGCTTTAGTCCTCCCTAGAAGGAAATTACTATTCTGAAGAGGAGGTCTGCAGAGAAGCTGGAGGATTTTAACCACCACCCACGCATCCTCGACCCCTCTTTGCGACACCCTACATTCCCTCAAATTCTTGAGCTTCGTCTTTTTGTGTAAAAGCAGGCTATTTTTATGTCCTTTTGTTGTGTTGCTTTTTGTCCATTTCTTTCTTTTTTTCTTCTTTCTTTTAACACATCCTGCAATATTGCTTTATGGAGAAAAGAAAGAATAATAGCGGTTTTTGCAAAAGTTCTTAGCTCTGAGAAAAAAAGAAAAAAAAAACTTTATTGCTGTAATCGAAAATGTAGAAATGAATTTTAATACATTTTGTCCTTTTTCACTCATATATTTATGCTATTTTTATTATTCTTACTAGCCGCCTAAGGCGGCTAGCTGTCCGCCTCGCTAAAGGTTTTCACAAATAAAGTTTTTTAAAACATAGCAGGAAATCGGAAGATTAGTGTACAATTGGGTATACTATAGCCTACGTCACAGGTTGTGTTATTCCTACTAAATTTAACCCATGAACGGCATTTTCTGCGAGCCTAACTTCAAGCCACAAATAAACAAACGAAGTGTTTGATCGTTTAAATAGCTGTTTGCCAGATTTTATTGCATTATAAAGAAAAGTAATTGATATTCGATTTTTGATTAATAATTGATTTATGTGGATAGTGGCATTTATGTGGATAGTGGCATAGAATTTAGCATTGCGTCATGGTAAATGTTATTCCTACTAAGTGGAAGTAGTTGTGTTTTTTTTATATTATACCCAATTAAAGTGTTCCTGTGCTGCAATTTTGTCTTCATATCCAGTTCTGCTGCAGACGAAAGTTAAACTTTTCTCTACTTTTATATATGTAAACGAATGCGAACCTTACAATTAAATTACTAATTCCTTCGTATATTATTGGTTTAAGTTGTCGAAAATTAATATTTCAATAGGAAGGTTCGCATTAGCATACATTTATAAGAGTGGAGAAAAGTACATGCANGAGAAAAAAATAACTTTATTGCTGTAATCGAAAATGTAGAAATGAATTTTAATACATTTTGTCCTTTTTCACTCATATTTATGCTATTTTTATTATTCTTATTTGATTGAAATAAAAAATTTCAGTAACAGTTTTTAAACATTAGTATTTTAAAGTGAAATGGGCATTATTATGAAATTTTTAAATTCGATCTGAAATTTAATCATCATATCATTTTCACTGACCTTTGAAGAGATAGGTAGAAGAACGTGTCCAGTGATAGTTTGAAAACAACTATTACTCTGTGTAAGAACATGTTCCGATCTGCTGTATTTTATCTTTTATCGTGCACCTATAGTTCTTGTATTCTGTAAGCATTAATTTATTATACCAAGAAGGCAGTTTATAAAAAGCTTCGTGGTGTTTATACACAAGCTCAAGCTGATTTTGTCAATTTTACTTATCATAGCTTAACACGTTCTTCATTTATTCTCTTGTTTTATTAGAATGTTGTTTTTTAAACAGTTTCATGATGTTTCGTTACATTATAAAGCTATTTTTTTCAAATTTAAGGTTGTGCCACTTAACATGTTCTTTAATTAAGCTATTATTTTTTAAAAATGTCTTAAAAACAGCTTCAGGATGTTCATTTACGTTCTAAAGCTTATTTTGTCAAATTTAAATTTGTATCTCTCAACATATTCTTCGACTAAGCTTAAGCTGTTCTTATATAAAAATATCCTTTTATAACAGTTTCATTATATTTACATACATTCTTAAGCTGATATTTTTTAAATATAAAGTTGTGTCACTTAACATTTTTTTTATAAACAGCTTTACGATTTTCGTATTCATTCGAAAACTGATTTAGACAGTTATAAGAATTTGTCATTCTACCACTAAGCTCTTTTTTTTTTTAAGAATATCCCTTTATATACAGTTTCGCGATTTTTTTTAAAATTCTGCAGCTGATTTTATCTAATTAACTGATGCTTCACTTAACACACGTTTTTCTATATTGAGCCATTCAATAAATCGAAAGTCACTTTAAGTTGATTTTGTCTAANTAAGAATTTGTCATTCTACCACTAAGCTCTTTTTTTTTTTTTTTAAAGAATATCCCTTTATATACTGTTTCGCGATTTTTTTTTAAAATTCTGAAGCTGATTTTATCTAATTAACTGATGCTTCACTTAACTTTCACTTTTTCTATATTGAGCCATTCAATAAATCGAGAGTCACTTTAAGTTGATTTTGTCTAATTGACTGGTGTGTCATTTAAAGATTTAAACTTTTAATATATAGGAATGCGGAAAGTTGTGTACCAAAAGGTATCAACTGTAAGACTTTTTATCAGTTAAAGTTTTTTTGTTAATTTTAAATATTATCATGTTAGTCATTTCTTAAAATATCAACGCTAATTATACCAGTAACTTTCACCTAAGCTATTTTTATAAAATAGTAGTCTTCTTTGGGATTTAATTTGTTTACTTGGGCGGGGATAAAAACTGCAATATCCTGCCGAAAATAACGCCCGCTCGACCATCTTCTCAATCAGAAAACTCATCAAACGTTAATTAAAATGATTATTTTTAGTTCCTCCACCAACTAAAACAAACCTCAAAAGAGATTAGTTATTGTTATATGCCAATGATAGCTTCTCATCTTTACTATAGAAGCACTCCACCCAAACAAACTGACCTCGCATGCTGGAAAATATCGATATCAACGTTGAATGTTCGATTATTTTGACTCCCCCACCCTTTAAGTTCAGCCGCATTTCCACAAGAGATTTCAAAACCGCCCGAAAATCACGCATAACCCAAAATCCTTTTCGTTTTCTGTGTGCCCGGGCAAATAAGAGCCCCCAGGGAAAAGTGAGGAACACCTCATTAAGATTAGCATTTAATTACGGAGCCACGAAGATTGATGGAATGGAAGACTTCAGATAATCGTGGGGCATTTTACTCGATTAAACAACATCGCCCTCTGTAATTGGAAGGTCTTTTCGCACCGCCATCTTGATGGACCCTACTATCTTTTGAACTTTTGTTCGGGACCTTTGGAAAATTCTATTGAATGACTTTCTATGAGTGGGTGGATGAATTTCAAATTTAAATTTATTTTCTAAAATGATGAGTAGCCGCTGCTTCGTTTTAAATTTATTGCATGTTTTGATGAAAGTTGTCTGACCCCTTGTGAATAGGTTTCTGTCTAAAAATTGTTCCCGAATTTATTTTTTTTTGATAAATTTACAGTAAATAATGTTCTCGCTCGTTTCTGAACTATTAAAATCATTTTCAGAATTATTTCGAAAATGTTTTAAAAATTATATTATTATAAAGTTTATTATTATAAATAATATAAAAAATTATAGTAGTCTGAAATATTTCGAAATATGCAATTATCTGACTATTAAACTCCGTTTTATTTTTTATTTCAGCTTTAAATTGGCTCATGAAGTTAATAATACAATGAATTTAAAATAAATAATATAATACAACTCATTAGATTCGCATTTTTTTGTTACTTGATATATTTTTTAATTCTCAGTTAATTTTATCCGTGTAACTTTTATATCATTCAAAATCTAAGCAATAAAATATACTATTTAACATATTTTTTGTCATGTTTGTTATGTTGTTAGTGTACCTGGCAATATATTACATTGCATTTTGTTATTAATACAGTTGATTTGCTTTATTCTTATAATTTATGTGTCTAACGAAAACTATGTGTTTTGAAAAAAAAATACAAAATTATTTTCAAAAGGCACTATACATCTATCAATATTAAATTATTGTATTAATGCGTAGACGAAATTTGCAATAAATCGAGCATTTGCGACTCTGTTTTTTTTTCTTTCTAAATTATGTGTAAAAAATCACATTTTTTGTTGTAGCATGTTATAAAAATCCTCGTAAACATTCCTAATATCTTTGTTCAATAAAAGCTTCGTAAAGCACGCTTTTCATGTGACACTTATGTTAGATACAAATATATCATCAGTTATTTATTCTTTAGTATAGATTTCAATATCTGAGAACATCGAGTATAATAATGTTGTCCAAAACTGGTTTTACATTGAAACCGGTTTTATGTGTCTAATAAACACCAAGGAAAACCAGTTTTAATTTTATGTAAACTGCTGTTTGTGGAAAATGCAACACCATGAAGGAATCATCAGAATCAAATGAAATTCGCAGCAAATGTCAATTATAGGATATTATGCAAATTAATAAAGTTTCAGAGCCATCGCGCGTGCGTGGCGCGCGCAGCGCCCTCTGAATTGATGCTGAAAGCGTATAAATAAANTTTTTTTTTTTTTTTTTTTTTTTTTTTTTCTAATTTATATATAAAAAATCACATTTTTTGTTGTAGCGTGTTATAAAAATCCTCGTAAACATTCCTATTATCTTTGTTCAATAAAAGCTTCGGAAAGCACGCTTTGCATGTGACACTTATGTTAGATACAAATATATCATCAGTTATTTATTCTTTAGTATAGATTTCAATATCTGAGAACATCGAGCATAATAATGTTGTCCAAAACTGGTTTTACATTGAATCCGGTTTTATGTGTCTAATAAACACCAAGGAAAACCAGTTTTAATTTTATGTATGTAACCAAATTTATGTTGAAACCCTAATATCTGTACTTTGAACCATAATATAACCAACTTTGCTGCTACCTTAATAAATTTACCCATCCTTCCTTTCAAATTGAATCATGACATTGTAATCTAGTGAAAGAAGGGCAATAATATGATTCAACTTAGTAACATTTTGGATTGTAAGAAGTTTGAACTATGTTTTCCAAAATTTCTAGCAGTGTAGAGTTGGAACAGCATCCGTAATAATCGATACACTTTCCTAAAATTAAAATTTTGCCTACATAATTTTTAAAACGCGCTTTTCATATGAATGTGCGCTTTTTTTGAACATTAAGGTATTATCGGATGTTGTCCTTAATATCTAAAAACTCTTAGCATGAGAATAGTGTTGCCAGTATTATTATTTTATTGCATAAAGTAGCACAATTGTGACTGACAGTAATTCTTCTGCAGATGTCTCGCGGTGACTCCATTACATCTTTGGCTGCAGATTTGGCTCTTATCACTAAAACCAAAACTCTGATGGCTGGAGACATTGTTCATTCTGCCGACATTCTGCACAGGTTGGTGGCAGAAATGGGCGAAAGGACACGAGTTATGGACGACCCCATTGAAAGACAAAAGTTACTTCTAATATTGTTGGAGGTAAGATTTTTTTATCTTTTTTTAAAAAATGTTTCTAATAATTTATGTGGTTTTAAGTCAATTAATGCAAATTTGTTAAGGTAGTTAAACTATTTCGACGTTCAGTCTGACTATTAACCCATTGCCTTAAATTGCTGCGCTATAATAATTATGTCCCTGTCAAAAGAAAGATGTCATTGCTATTACAATTTGATCTAGGAAACTGGTAAAAAAGCTTTCTTTTTTAAATTTTCATAAAAAATATATTTTTAAAAAATTGATTGTTTAAGTTGTTTGACACTGAATAGCGTTTATTTTTGTTTAAAAAAAATTTAAGCAATTTTTTTAAACAGAAAAATAATAATCTCTCTGTATATCTTTACATATAATATACATATATTTCTCGTATGTAGCAAACTCTAGTATTTCACTATCTATTGGTAACACTCTAGCAATTGTTCATTTTGTTAAGTTGTCTTAAGTTATAATTTTAGTAGTGTTGAAAAGTTAGTTATACGCTAATCATTTATTTAGTATTTTTTATAGAAATACGAAGTTAGTTACGAAGCAATTATTTAGATTTATTTTTGATTCTTTCTGAAATGGCTGCTGAAATTTTAAACACAAACGGTGCAATGGTGCCGCATACTGTCCTATCAATTAGTCTTTTTCGAGCAATAGTTTATATATATTATATCTATCTTACCTCACGATAGACATGGGAATAATTTAAATACTTTTGCTGTTCACTATGCCCGAATTCATATTTACTGTAGTGTGTATGATTAAATGTCTGCCGGGCAGTTTTTAAATTATTACTAAAATTCAATAAATAAACTTTGACAATATCGCTTCCATCTGTTGAAAATACTTAAAATTTAAAACAAAATATATCTGGGGGCCAATGCGGCGGACAACAGCTAGACGGTGTAAAAATGTGGTTAATATATTGTTTGAAACTAATTAAGGTGTTAAATTTGGAGGAGAGGTTGAAGAATTTAGAATATTTAAATACAGTTGTGCTGTGCATTCGGCTTGGTTACCATTAAATTTTATATGCTGTGCTATAATTTTGAAAGGGATCCAAGCTTGTCGCCAAAGGTAGCTAGTAATTACATATACTTATAATATATTTTGCTTAACTTTAAAATTGAGTTCGTGCCAATTTATTTTGAATCTTTATTACGTAAATAAATTTCAATTATTATTAAAGTTTTTCTTTACCTAAATACGTTCTTTATTATTATATTAAAGAACTGAGAATAAAAAAAAGAAGCATTTTACAAAATTGTAATTGTAGTTATCTCATTAATTTTCATTGTTTTTTTTTAAAAATTTTTTTTATGCCGATACGATAATTAAAAAATAGCTATTGTTTCTTTTGTCTTTTTCTCTCAAATATTTTTTTTTTCATGTTTTACTTAATCTAATTAAAAAGTGTTTCTCACCTTTTTGTCTGCTAAAGACATCGGAGTCCTTAAAAAAAATTCATTGAAAAATACCTCTTTATAAAATTAATTTACAGCCGTTTTAATCAATAAAGTTTTGATCGAAAAGAACATTAAGTTCGAAATACCTGCGGCGTAACAGGTGCTAATTGTATACTCTCCTCGCATCGAACGAAAAATTCTACAATCAATATAGCCCAACCTGTCTCTGAAAAGGGATTATTAATTTTCCATCCTAATTTTAATTACTTTTGATCTATTTTATGCAAACAAAACTTCTGAAATTGGATCCGTTGCAATTTTAAAATTTGCCAATTACTCAATAATAAAATGATGATTAATCATTTAAATTGATTTATCGACGTTTGTTCTCGGATTTAGGCTATTTAAATGTTTGTTCAGCGGTTCTTGGGTTAACAGGAGCGATTAATTAGTCTTAACTATTAGAAATACTTTAGGCTGAACTTTTACGAGGTATTTTCGCTTCACCACACTCATTTGCGGTCTTAATTGAAGTTCATTTATTTCCCTCTGATTTTTCCAGGTTTCGTTGCTATGGAGAAATTTGCTATTATTCTTAACAAAGTTTTTTTCTTTTTCCTTTTAAATGTGTTTTGCGTGTTTGTAAAATATGACGATGACATTTAGACAAATGTTTTAACATTTCTTTTATTATCTTTAGCACTTTGTGACACGCTGAATCCCTAAAAAAATATTGCGAATTGTGCCCTTGATATATTTTAGGTTTGGGGTGGTGACAGGGTTTTTCAGAATTAAACAATCAAATTACGCAATTGCTTATAAACTATATTTTCAGGATCATGGTTTTAAGAGACTGCATTGCATTAAAAAAAAGAATAAATTAAGAAAAAATAAAAAAAAATAGTGCGTGGAGTCCCTCCGCGCGTAAGAAGTGAAACTTCGTAATGTGGAAATGAAAATAGGAAGGGGTAGAAATTGATTATTAGTGAAATCATATTGTTTCTTTAAGACAAACTTTATTAACATTGCTTACAATTCACAATTGATCGCATCTTTTAATTATCATTTTCGAGTGGAGAAATGTCCAAATCTATAACATTTACAATGAGATTATGATAACTAAAGTAAGATATAATGTTTGAGTTCTATTTTTTCAATATTTCTTGCAAAAACTGCATCAATGGTAGTTACCCCTTTGGTTGTTGGATCATTTCTACCATTTATCATTTCCAATCCAGATTTGTCTTTAAGGTAGGTTAATAATGTTTCAGCTTCAGGTAACGAGAAATTCACATTAAAATCTCCTGCAAGGATCACAGGCCGCTAAGAATAATCAATTTCTTCACCAGTAACGTCTGCCAGAATTTGTGAACCTGCAGTGGATAGTGGCAATTAAGATTTTGCAATAAATAATTTAATATCCCTCATGGCTACATTTGGTGAATTATAAATGGCAATTAGAAAAGAGAAAACCTAACAATCAATTGATATTCACAAGAGACGTTCCTTGACCTAACCTTAAATCCGTCGCATTGTCCGTGGGATTGTTTTCACTCATTTTTTACAATTGTTATCCACTAAGTTTGAAAATAAAAAGTACTACCCTATTAAATTATACTAGTGGGCTGTGCCCCCTGCTAGCTAACGCTCGCCAACCCCCAAAAATTACTACGCAATCCTATATGGTTTGCTTCACAAACCAAGCTCGCTTCGCTCGCTACTAACTTAGGTACATTGCAAATGCACAAAATTCTAAGAATTCAAAACAATCATTCAAANTGAGAACCAAAACAATATGGAAATGAATGAGGGAAAACTGGATCCTACCACGTGATTTCCCGGCCAATAAAAATGTAGCGTTAAACGTTTAACGCAACCTTGTTGGAGGTCGCATAAGAAGTATAACTTCAATAAATAAAAATTAAAAAAAATTCAAAATATTGTTAAAAAAAATCCACTATTTTTTTTTTTCCTGAAAAGGCAATATTTTATTTATTAATATTCATTTTGAAAAATTTAAAGGGCAAAACTCGTAATTTTATGCAAAATTAAAGATCATATAATTATCTCTTATTTCTTTCGGAAATATATACAATAATAAATGCATAAAAAATAATTTAAAAAATATTTTTAAGTTGGATATTTTTTTAACCACTTTGTGTATTTCCGTAAAAATCAGAAAACGAAACACTTTCAATGAAAAAAAAATTGTTGGTGAAAATTAACCCAGAGGATAGGTTACTGGGAATGACACGTTCGAAAAGGGAATCAACCCAACCGAAAATTCCATTTGCTCCAACTGCTGTCACCCTCAGGGCATCCCATCGTTTTTGGGGCTTAAGCCCTCCCTTATAACACCAGTATTTCATTCCCTTCTGCTTTACTTGATTGTGCTAGGGCGCAACCCTTCTGTCATTGACAGTAAAGGCGTAAAAAGACGCCCTCTCTACACTTCTATTTTCTTGTATGATTTTAGTTCTATTGTACGGCAGTTGAAAAGCGTTCTAGATTGCGAATTTCCAGTAAATAAGCAGACTGCTAATTTATTTATTTATCATTATTTAAATTTCTCCTTTATTCTTATTCAAACGTATTAGTGCACAGTTCTAATTTTGGTTTAAATGTTTCTCTTGTTTTTTTCTTAATATACTTTTGCTACAGTAGTGTGTAATTACAATGAAAATTAGTACATTAGAAATTGTCAGCCATCTTCATAGATAATGTTGCTCAATTTCCTGTAACTAAGCAGACTGCTAATTTATTTATTTATCATTATTTAATTTCTCCGTTATTCTTATTCAAACGTATTAGTGCACAGTTCTAATTTTTATTTAAAAGTTTCTCATTTTTTTTTTTTTTTTTAAATATACTTTTGCTACAGTAGTGTGTAATTACAGTGAAAATTAGTACATTGGAAATTGTCAGACAACTTCATCGATGATGTTGCTCAATTCCCAGTAACTAAGACTGCTAATTTATTTATTTATCGTTATTTAAATTTATCCGTTATTCTTATTCAAACGTATTAGTGTACAGTTCTAATTTTAATTTCAAAGTTTCTCATCTTTTTTTTTTTTTTTTTTTTTTTTTTTTTTTTTTAAATATACTTTTGCTGCAGTAGTGTGTAATTATAGTGAAAATTAGTACATTAGAAATTGTCCGCCATCTTCTTATGTTGCTGTCTTATGATAATGTTGCTGTCTCTAAGGTTATTATTAATTGTCTTTTTTTAGGTTATCGATATCACTAATATTAATTTCATCCCTTAATCCCTTAATATTAATTTCACTATTTGCCTATTTTGACATATCTGTTAAACTTTAAAGTGAACCGAAAAGAATTTTGCATACAATTATGTAACTCGTTTATCCAAAAATAATTTAATTCAAAATATAAATTTTTAAAGCTATTTTTGTTATTTCAATTAAAAAAGGCGGGAAATTTTTGAATTGTTAGGTTTATAAATCTTTATGCTATATTTTATTCTTGTCTATTGACGTGAATTTTCAACAATTGTGTTGATTTTCTAAAATTTTATTTTTTTGAAATACTTTATATTTAAATCAATTAAATACATCATTCGAATCTTTGTTTTTTTATTACTTAAAAACACTTTCTTTAGTTTTTGTCATTAACTTTCTTTACATTAGCTTTTTTTATATCGTTTTTTAATCACGTGATTGTTAAGTGATATTAATTATATACATTTCCAAACAAATTTTTCAACTTAAGTTATTGGAAATGAAAGTATGTGTTTCATTTTCTAAATGCCTTTTTGATTAATTAGCTACATCTTTCACCGATTTCCTTTTTTCTTTTTTTATGAATTCTTCAGCGTGTTGTTACTACTCTTACTTATTAAATTAATTTTTTTTCCAAACATTGTAAGCAAAAAGAAACTAACAATTTTTAACCTTGTTTCTTCTGTAATTATTCAACTTTTATTTTTTTAAGGGAAATTCTTGTCTTTAATAAATCTTGCAGTAACTTAACACAAGTTCACTTGCAGAATCTGTCAATCACTCTCGATTTTTTTTCTTTTTTAATCCAATGTTTTCCACATGCTGCAAATCCAATAACACCATCCTTACTCCTTTCTAAAATATTTTTTTTTACATGTGAAAAAAAAGGGAACATTGCTCATTAATTTTCCCTAATGAAACTTGGTAACATATATTCATTTCGCTATGGTTGTAAAGCTTTTTACAAGTGTAGCCCTTTTTTCTTCCTTCAATACTGGTTCTTTTAGAAATTATTTTAACCTTTATTTTTTACCGTTTTTACTATCCTTTTGAACATGTCCCCGATATTGATTTCATATCAGAAGGTGGTAATTAAGAGAAAAAGGAGGGAAAAATCAAGGTAATGTTTTTGCTAACTCCCTTTTTTTATATCTTCATAAAGACTAACTTTGATGGATATTCTCTTTTTACTTAATATGGCTTCATAACCCACACCGCTGCTTTTTTTTTCTTGCGGAGTAAGTGATTTAATTTTTTTTTACTTACTTATTAAAATTATTCATTTCGCTCGTAAATTTACCGTTAATAATTTAATAATGTTTTCTCTTTTTCTACTCAATTAGCCAAGATTCATATATTAGAAATTATTAAAAATTGGCTTGCTAGTAGCGTTTTTGAAACTCTTAATTATTAGCTCTGACTAACGAGAAAAGCGAAGGATTTTGTCATTTTTTTTAATTATTTTTTTTTATTTCATTAAAAACTTTTAGGAATTTAAGCTAGGTTTATGCTTTTTATCATATTGCGTTCATTAAATGTTGATTAATATCATTTATATATATTATACATGAACTTTCATGAATTAATAATTAGGCTTAATGTAAATTTAATTATTTATGTTAAAAATTGATGGTTTTAAAAACTAAGAAGATTATTTACTATCTATAATAAGATGATTCGGAAAATTTTTGTCATTAATGTTAGTGAGTCAGAATATAATATCTTTGACAAGCCGAAATGATATATAACTGTAAAAAATCATCATTAATTTTAAATAAGTTAATCTTACTCTTTAAAATTATTGGGAAATGCTAGTTAACTTTAGTATGCCAAAATAATGTAACTGAAAAATGTGTTGTTAATTTTAAACAGGCTTCTAAGATAGCTTTATAAATCCGAATTTTTAAAATTAGTAGAAAATATTATTTTTTAATTACGCAGTGTCAGAATCCTTTATTTATAACAATATTAATTATATAGTCAGAATATTATGGCTGTTAGCAGATTTCATTATTTTAAAGAAAAGCTACGCTATAATTCTTGACTTTTTAGATTGTTTTCTGAAATGCTCTGGATGTTTGGCTCTTTGCAAATTGCTGGCGTTATTTATAACTCTTATTGCAAGCCCGTTTGACGGCAAAGAAAAAAAAATGAATAAATAAAATAAAAATATAAGTTATTGTAATAAAGAATAAAATGTGAAATATAATGAAGTCATTCATCTTATGATGGATAAAATTAAAAAAAAATACATAAAAGTTAATGATTTTGTGAAGAATAAAATTTGAAATATGTTATTCATTTTACGAAGAGTAAAATAAAAATATGAACAGATTATTTATTTTATAAAAAATATTAATTGCACTTCAATATTAAAATTTATAATTTAAAAAATATAATATTTAACTTCGACGTTTAAAAAGTGAGTCAAGTATGCACTTAAATTTATATCGCCTTCATAAAATACTTGATTTAAGAAAATGTTCATTTATTATTATTATTATTTTAGCAATAATATCTTAGTATAAATTATTTTTTGAAAAAAGATATAATTTTAAAAGAAAATTAAGGATTTCTAAACAACGTTTCCATTTCTTAAAAAATGTGACTATTTCCACTTCTCTTGTACCTTAACTTTATAATTTTTCCTTCAAAATCATGCTATACTGTTTGATGCTTTATTTACCGGTTTGAATATTTTTTTTATTTTTACATTTTTAATAATTATCGTTTCTTGACTGAAATTTAAATTTAAAAAAAAATATGTATTGAAGATTATGGCATTATATTAAAACCCTTGTTTATCCTTTAACAATGACTTGTTGAAATGAGAAAAAAAAAGAAGACAAAATTCGATAAGCTAATTTTTATGAAATTAAACATTCTTAATGAAGACACCATATGTATCAATCCTCAATCCCAACAGCTAAGCGAGAAGTGGGAGAAAAAAAACGCGAAATTGGCGATAAATTCCTCTCTTTTGCGCGCCAACAAGTAAAAAAATGTATTAAACTTCTATGTATTATTCATAAGGAATGAATTGACACCCTGCATAAAATGGCTGATAAAATATTCATTGAGAAAAATTGTTAGCTACGAAAAGCAAAAAGTCGAAATTTAGCTTCGTTCATTTCAAAATCAGAGCATTAACGAAATTTGATACGGTGTTAAATTCTTTTTTCCTCTTATTTCGTTCTATTCATCGCTTATTATATTTTATTATTAGAACTTCAATATATTCGAGAATATTCCATTTTAATTACTGTCGAGTTCTGTATTATTATCTTCCCTTTAGGGAATTTTAGACGCTTTTCTTTTAGCGCCATATTGGGTGTTACAACTATTTTGCTCGCAGACAGATTTGTTCTTTATTGGTGGGATGTAGCTGAAATTGTTTTCGTTTTTTATTGTGCAGTTTAATTTGTTGCCATTTTTAATAAGATAAATAAATATTCATGATTTAGAACAAAGTTTTTGGCATAATCAATAAGAGTTGTATTCATGCATATTGATTCATTTTTGTATCAAAATGAGTTATCTTTTTTATCTAAGCTAAATGAAAATAATGTTACAGCTAATTATTTTATTTTGTCTAAAAATAAATAAGTTATATGTTTAAAAGAATTTTTTCCCTCGAATATTTCATATAAAAAAGGGTACACATTTTGTTTTGTTTCCAAATAATCTTGTGTTAATTATACACGTTTAAAAAAATCATTTAAGCGTTGTACCTTAATATCGAAATGTAGAACTTTACCGTGCAAATTAGCTGTTACTTCAACAAGGTATTTGTACCAAATTGAATCGTGTTTTCATTCACGTTTCACATTACCACTATTTTTCTTTGAACTAAGGAAAGCTTATATTTGTTCATCTTTTTGACATTGCATCTTGTAAGCGTAATATTGGAATCGTATATAGTTTTTCATACTTTCAGCTAGCTAATATTGTAAAAATTAATGATGTTCCACGAAATGATTAATAGTATTCACGCTAAAATATAACAAGCTTAAAGGATAATCTTCCTTTCATTTCAGGCTGTTCTGGAAGTCAGTAGCAATTTACTGGATGACAGCCAACGGGCTCCTTGGCATGACCTGAACAGGGAACAGCAACAGAAATCAGCATCTGCTCTGCTCAGAAGTCAAGAGAAGAGTGGGTGGCTATTGGCAGAGTCTCATCACTCAAGATATAGCCACAGAAGTGGACATTCCCATGTTTGTAAGTATTTCCTCATCGATATATTCTTTGATGTATTCTTCCTATAAATATTCTTTGTGCACATTGCAACCAAATCTTAATTTTTTAACGCTCTGAATGCTGAAGAAAAGTTTTTGCTACTAAATTTTACATTTTCGAAAAACCATCTTCCAAATGACGAGTATATATTTTCCCCGAATGGTATTTTCCATTTGACATAGGAAATTCAGACTAGATTACTAGTTTAGATGGTTGGTTGGTGTCGTGCCATGGGCAGGAAATATTTTTAAATGTAATCAAAGGTCCTGTATTCAACATCTGAAATTTGAAGGCAATTTTCTTCATATAAGTCCGCCCACGGATTGCCACTTATTTGCTGCAATTGCGCAAGTATAGCGGGACAGTTGAAAAGATGTATGGGGTTAACTCTATGTCTGGGCAATTTTTGCAGTGGCAGTAAGTCCTTGTCCCGTCAGCATGAATCTTCATCCCCCTAAAGTGTCCTGTCCTGAGTCTTGACTAGTTTAGATCTGCTTTGGTTTTGCCTCAATGGCTAGTCTTTACTATATTTTTGATCAATATAATGTATAAAATCTAGATTAATAAAGGCAATAAATGAATTAACAAACAAGCATAAGATAGTACACATGGATGCCTGATAACACTGCGAAAGATACCTTAAAATATAGGCACATGGAGATTTACTGACACACGAGGAGGCTGGGTTGAAAGTTCTTATCTATAGACCATAGAATTTTATTTTCTGATACATTTGGAGGCTGGGCTGAAAGTTCATGCATACCAAGACTGAAAAGAGCAAAGACTGGTACGAAAATCTAGCTTGCTTCAGGGAAAAATAAACTATCCATGACTACCAAGGTTTTACAGTTATTACTAATATATGTCAGACCGTTTCTTACCCGAGAAAAAATAATGTTAGTAAGAGCTTATTTTACTCCTCCTGAAAATCAGCTATTATGGAATGGTTTAATACGAATTTTTTTCTCTCTTACGTTTCACTTTCGAACCTACGTGTAGGCTGCGTACTCTGCTGCCCCATTGCAGCATGCAGGTAAAATGTGCTGCAAGGTAGAACCGCATATTTAACTTGAATTCTTTTCCAGCAAATGAAGTTTAACAATACTGGATAGCTGTTAAAATTTTTTGCCTCGAACAATTTCGCTGTAAGAATATTTATTTTAGAGCAATTCTAAAATCTAAATGAACAAATTTAACGTGCTTATTTTCAAAGTAACCCAAATAATAAAGCCGTGGAACTAAAATAGCCCAGAACTACTTATAAATTTATCAGACTAACACACACGCTGACAGCATCGATAAAGCTCAGATAATTTCGTTGATGAATTGCTTTCTTACGTCAGATATGTTCGCAACGTGTCACCCAGAAATCGACTTGTAATATTTGATCCATAAACAGCATGATAAATGGCCATTTCCGATCTAAATAGTGGAATAAAAGAATTGTCAAATAAAAGAGGTAACAAGAAAAATCTGACAAAAAAAGAAAATTGTATTAACTAATAGCCATAAATGTAATGAATGTATATATCTATAAAATTTGTTGGAAATAAATCCGTCATGTCACTTGTGCCATCGTAAATCAAGGGCGACCGAAATAAAAGACAGGGGAGTGAAATATGTATGTATGGCGTAAAAAAAAAAGTAAATACACGCGTCAGAATGTCTCGCGCTTTGCTCTGGAAGAAGAAAATTTCGCCAAAAACTTATCTATCAAATGCCCGGAGCAAGCTGTCCTTTAACAATAGATTGGAACGCACGTAGGCCGTCAATAAATGATTTTTTAAAAAATATTCCAAGAGAAGATAGAAAAAAGTGGATGAGTAATTGTTCAATTTTGTCGGCGAAATATTCCGTTTCTTTGGCGATAGTTTTCTGATTGAAAACTAATTATGTTTTGAAAACCGTGGAACCTGATTACAATTATTTAAAGAGTAATTGTTAGAGCATGAATTATAAGAAAGAATGAGTCTAATTTTTCGCGAAATTGTATTAAAATTACCGTGTAATTAACAATTTTCTTAATATTTTTTTAATTTTACCCTTTATACTTTTTTACTTGGTGATTGTTTTTTATTTTTACTTCCCTAGAATATGAAAAGTTGAAAAATTATACGACATGTATGGTATTACATTTCTTAAAAAAATGTATACAGTTAACAATTTTATGGTTATGTTAATCATGTCTGTCTTACAACTATTAATATTTTGTATGGCAAAGTTTCTGCACTTCAATTAGTAAAACTCAAATTGAATTTTTGAATCTCAATTCTTTGCCTAGCCAATGAAATTAGTTTATTTAAATTCACTCCGTAAACTAATATTAAAATATTCGGAAGTTCAAGTTTGTCCAGCAGAATATATTTCTGTATGCAAAAAAAAAAAAAAAAAAAAGGAAAGAGAAATTAGTTAATCTTCAGTATAGGTAGTAAAACACCAGTTTCAATCAGTTTTAAAAATAATTGTGCATTGAACTTTTATCAGTCCTGAAGTAATTAAAGGGAAATTTTGATAATCCTCCTTCTTACAGCTTAACCGAAAACAAGTCTGAGCATTCTAGTGTATATAATTTAATTTTGAACTTTCCTGTAATATTTAAAATGCTTTATAATTTTGTTAGCACACGAACTGGTCATTTAAAATTCCATTGCGGCCATTATTTTTTTGTTAGCGTATTTTATACGATGTCACTTTTTGAATTTATTTTTAACATTAAGTTTTTTTTCCTTCTCATGAGAAAGTTTCTTCTTCAATCATGACTGTGACTTTTTCCAGATATAACCACTGAATAAAGGAAGTCACTTGACCAGCGGTTTAATTAATGAGTGAATTAACATATTAGTGAGGTGAAGACAAAGAATGGGAAAGCCCTTTGAAAAGCTTTTAGAAATACATGATTTGTGCGATTGCAGCCTTTCACCACAAATTATTTTTATATTTATTATATTTTTTCTGGTAAAATGCGAAATTTTGCCACCCAACTCAAAACATCTTTGAGTCAATTTTTCTTCCTTTTAGCTGTTTTTTAGTATGAAAAACGAGATTCTTGCTTTTTAAATTCATCTGTTTTTTGAACCACCCAATGTAGCTTTGGAATCATTTTTCGTGTTACTTTTTTATTTCTTGTTTTGTTAGCTGTTGCATCTATGTTAATAAAGACATTACAATACTACAATAAGATGTTTTGTGCATTTTTAAAGAAGTCGTTTCTTTTTACTTTTCTAGTGGCTGCCGTTCATGTAGTTGAATCCTGGGATATATCTGATGTAGTATTGCCTCCACCCTTAGATACAACCTGGTGGATTGTGGATGACAGATTGTTAGTTCCTGCTCCAGCTCTTTTAGCCACAGCCAAGCAAGGTAAATATGTGTGCACAACTTAGGGATGAGATAGCTAAATTCTCTAAATTTAATAGTTTAATAAAGCTAAAGGATTTGAGAGAATATATATAAAATAAACGCGTTAAATTATGTTTAAAATATTTAAATATTTAGGATATTGACAGAATTTTGTACCCTGCTCTTATAGGCTTACTCTTGTTCTGTTTGCCACAAATGTTCATCAGTAAATATTTATATCAAACGAGACAAAACATTTGGAACTTCCCTTGATACTAAACCCCACATTCAATTCAAATTAATTTTATTTAATTGGTAAAATCGGGAAAAATATTCAGCATTGTGTTTTACGTTGTTAATAAATTTTTTGCAATTTATTTAGACGTTTAATATATGTTAACTATATTTACTTATATGACACGTTTGTTGAATGGAACTTGAAAAAAAATATTTGTGTGCTTTTATTAAATTAGTTTAAAAGCTTCAGCTGAGAAAAACAAGCTTTAAAAACAGTGTAAAAGTTTTCTTATATTTATTTCTTGAAATAACTCCTTTTCTTGCTTAGAACAGTTCTCCCAAATAAAGATGCAAAGCATGATCTTCCTCTTTTCAAGCAACAACTGTACAAACATTCGTTATTGATTTTACCTAATTTATACCAAAGAAGGCATTTTTGGAAAGAACTTTGAATAAAATTCCCAACTCGGCAGACGTAAATAATCTTTCAGATTCAGAATTATTATTCTCCTTTTCCTGACGTCATCCATCATTTCTTTTTTTCGAAAGTGGCAACAGCAACAATGGAGTATGGAAGGCAGAAAACACTTTCACCCAAAGTGTTCACTGCCGCTCCACAATAAAGACAGAATACAAAATGCAATATGATGGGGACCCATGGATATCCATATATTTATACATGCATGCGTGATTTTTCCCATCGTTCGCATGGGCATTCTTCATACATCTCGTCGACTTTTGATGCTCTTCGGGAAATTTGCCAAGTCTTTTTGGAAGCATTTCGTAATTGAGAGACTAGTTCATCTGCCATTCTTAGCTCATAAATATGTTTACGACTTCTCTCGCTTATGGCTGTCTCAACGCAACAACAAGTTTAAAAAACACAAAACAAAAACAAAGTGGTTGAAAAATATGTGCAAAAAGTCTTGGTAATGGCTTGTGCTTATGAATGTTTTATTCCTACATTTTTTTGTTTCCATTTTTTTTTAGAAAAACATCGTGTTTAAAAATTCTGCACCATCAAAATAACTTTCAATATTTATAACGTCTGCGGTAGGTTTGAAATGTTTTTAACACATATTTAACTTCCGTAGCGAGAGAAAGATAAATTGCCAAATGGTGGAATTTATCTGATTGGATTTCAGCCAATCAGGTGGAGTCATTAATCTTTAATCGCTGCTTCTTTTTATACTTTTAAAAATGGCAACAAAACTGTTACCTTCTAACTGCCTGGAAATAGCTTCTTCCATTATTTTTTTTATTGATTTTTGAGTAATGGAATGTTTTATGTTAATAGTTAAACATTGGAAGTTTTATCGCAACCGTAACTAATTCACGGTGTAGATAACTTAACTGGATACATTGTATAGAAGTAAATTTCCGAAATTTAATTCTCAGTTTAAATTCTCTTTAATGTATTATGTCGTTTCGTCAATCGCTGAAGAGCATACACTCTTAATTACGGCGGGAATTGAACCTGCTACGTTTTTTAGTCGCGACCCTTTATGTTTCCTTCATTCATCCTTTTATTGCGTGTGATATCTTTGGTGTATGTGTGGGTAATTTAATGTGTATAGGTAATACGTTAGCATAAACTATTATGTAAAGTAACAAAGAGGAGTTTGATCGCGATCTTCACCAATTTTGTATCTTCTTTCTTTCTCTCTTCCTTTCTTTTTCTGTTGTTTCAGCGTTTGACTTTCTTACCTTGGGATGTTGAGCGTTTCTTAGTGCCATCAGAACTGCATTACATCGCAGAAAATACCTCAAATTCGATGAATGATTATTGAATAAACGTAACAATAACGGAAATCGAACCCCATCCCTTGTGCTTTCCTTGTTGATTGGCAAAGTAACATACCACTCAACCATATAAATATTATAAACGGCGTTGTACATCCGTCTCAATTCTGCCAGAAGAAAAGGGAACTCTTGTGGATCAAACATTGGAACAAACTAGTTTTCGTGGAGGACTTTTTGATGGAACTAACCCGCATTTATGTTACAAGGAAAGAAAAACTTCCCATGGGTAGCCCGACGTAAGGGGATTCTAACCCATGATCCGTCTGCCATTGAAGATATTTTATGCCTGTGATCGGTTCGAGCAAGGGCAGTATTCGTATCGATCAGCTAGAATTCGAACCTAAGTTACCTTATGGGGGCGATTCGAGCGCTCTATTCGAGTAGCTATATTTAAGTATTGATTCTACATAAAGCGTTTGAATCAAATATGAAGAGCCAGTACATAAATAGAGTGATATTTGCTGTCTCAAGTTTAGGATCATTGCTTTCAGAATTCTTACCCATTTTTGAAGGAGACTTCTTCGGAGTACGTCACTTAGACGTAGATTATCCATGAAACTATGTTCGTGTCATAAGTTGATTAAGCTGGAACAGTGCTCAACTAACTGTGATGTACAACATCGCTCACCCGTACTTAAACTAAATAAAAGCCGCTCTCAAATCTCAAAAATATTACATTTTGCTGATCATTTCACCGAGAGCATTTGAGAACAAGAACCGAGATGGCGTTGGAAAAAGTGTCGAATTTAAGGTCAAAAACACCGAAGAACTAATGCACTCACACGGAATTTTTTTTCATTAGCCTAATTCTAAAACTAGAGAAATTGTTAAACAATTTAATGTCTTCGAAAGTATCTTTTAATACATACTTATGCAAGCTTTTCCATTACAGGTGTTTCACGTCTTGTTTTATTAGTCCATCATCGATTAGGCGACTTGCTTGGATCTGAAGTGGAATCTGGAGAAATAGCACCAACAAACACCAGCAGAATAATCAACTCCAGAGTGATTGGTGCACTTCTGGAAGGTCACCGTGTCCTCAGCTTACCAAGACCCATCACTGTTACGTTTAAACATTTACAGGTATGTTTTAATTATTAAACTAATAAAAACAAGGCATTCAAATCTATGTTCTTCCATCTTAAATTATATTAGCAACGATTCCACATTTTATTTAATCTCAATGAATTATGTCTCTGTTACCTTTGGTTCCGCCAAAAGCAATACAACATTTCATTTTAATGAGTAGTGTTGCTTTAAGCACTCTCTGTTGGCTGAGTTTAAAATTGTTCTTTTCTAACGTAATGATAAGAGAACTTTTTGGGGGAAGGGGTATGGTGCCCATAAATCGAAAACTTAATATCTTTCTTGTTGCCTTGAAATTGCATTACTATCTTTCACTTCTAAAAATCATGGAGAAAAGTTCATTTGTGCTTTCAGTCCCCCAGGGGGTTGGAAAACATTCTAATCGTCCTAAAAGTAAGTTATAGCTTTTGGGGGTGTATTAGTTTGGCCGTTTTGCAATGAGAACGTTATTTTAGAATGAAGGAGACTATTCAAAAATTTTCCTTATCTCGTTTTCTGCCTAAGATAGTTGATGGTTTTTGAAAAGAACAGTTATTTTCGTAACTATCTGCTGTAATATTTTTGATGTCTTGAGGTAGGTAGTAAGGAAAAAAGCTTTTTTTTTAAAGAATTATTTAATGTTTTTTAGTTTAAGATTTTATTTTTTAGGTAATCAGACGCTCTTGGATAATGAGATGAATTTTTAATACATTTTTTACGGTAATCTTAAGTAATTTGAAAACAAAAATTAATGAGATGGCATTGGGTGGATAGTTTCTTTTAGAAGAAAAACGAAGTTTACAAGGGATGTTATAAATCATTTTTTATTTGCTTTTTCCTCTTTTTTTCTTTTTCTTAATCAAAAACTCGAGATATTAAAGCTAGCCATGTTTTTCTTTCTTTTCATTTTTTGCGAAATTAATGGGGAAAAATATTTACTTTTTTTTAATGTTAACGTTTTTCTGATTTTTTCCTTAATTGCTTACTAAGCAGTGTTTGGTTATATAACAATATTTATTCTATGGTTAAACATATTTTGAAATTTGACTGTATGTTAGACATCTAAATATGTTCGTATATTTCATATACTCTGAAAAAAAAAATTGGTTCAGTATCGAAACATAATTTCGTTAACATATTATTGACATACTATTTACATTTTATTTACATTACTCTCTCAACATATTAACCAATTTTTTATTTCTGTAATTATTTAACTTTTTGCAAAGATGAAGAAAAATTGTATCTGAAAACTGCGATTTTGTATATTTGTTTTTATAGATCAATTTGAAAGTTTCCTGGTAGAATCAAAATGCGCAAGAAATGTTTATTAATTTGAAAGCTTCATTATATTTTATTATTGATAAAAATAATTCGACTGAATGTTTCAATTTGAATCCTAAAACTTTCCGATTTACGGCAATTTCTGTGAAGCAACGCTACAGCTTGATTTTCCTGTTATTATGTGACCCTGAACTTCTTACGAAAGTATCAAATATCGAGAATTTACGTATAGTAAGAAATGTAATTTAATTAAATTATTTAAAAAAATGCTATTTTTCTAAAAAGTGCGATATTTGGTAGAATGGAACCAGTGGAAAACATCCTAGAATGTAATAAAATGCGCAATTTTAACTTGTTTCTTAATAGTTGCAATCTGTTTTTTTTTTTCATGAATTGCAAAATATTAATTGGACATTGATGAATTGGATGAATTGACAGAATGAATTGGATTAGTGTTGATCTGAGTTTAAAACCGACACAAAATCATCTCTCCAGAGTATATAAAAATTGTGATTTCTGATTTTTTTTTAAATATCATTTTTAATTTTATGTAAACATTTCGTAACATTTGTAAAATTTATATACCATAACATTAATAATATTAATAATTAATTAAAATTTGTAAATAGTTATAATTTTTTTTTCCTTGAAAATTAAACTCGGAATAATAACCTGTATGATTTTTGTCGGGATAGAGTTCAGAGGACGCCATACACCGGGAAAATCTTTTCGTCTCCAATTCTCTTTAATCTCCATAACTAATTTAAAATATGGAAAAAATTGAGTTCAGACGATCAGGCAAAGGAGAAGTTCTCTTCGAATAATTTTTTTGAATTTTGAAGTTTCGAATATTTTATTTTTCAGCAATTGAAACATAATGGCTTACTCTAGGTTTGTCTTAACTCATTTTTTTTAAATTTTAAATTAGTAATGGAGGTGAAAGAAAACTTACTAAGAAAAATTTCTCCCGTGTTATGGTGTCTTCCTAAGGTATGCATTCGGGTCATGTGACTAGAGACCATCATCTGAAACTCCGAACTGCATTTCTGCCCCTGAAATAGCATGTGTTCAGGGCCGCATGACCTTAAAATCGGTACCTGACCTCTGTTAATACTATGTTAAACATTAACCATTACTTTCTACAAACTTTTCTCGAAAAATTAATTAATAAACCATTAAGAAATAAACTATTCCCTCGAAACTCGATAGATCCACAAATCTTTCACTGGGCGTTTCCAAACCATCAGCCCGAAGTTTTTAATTACGTTATACAAAACTTACCCATAACATAACGCGCGCAATTCAGTTAATAACAAGATTCTAATTTAGAGCCCGCCAAACTTGCAGCAGGTTCTATTCGATCTCGGAAATTAACAAGGACGGTTATGGTATAAATCAAACCATTGCAGCTAATAAATACACGTTCCAACATAAGTAGGAAAGCATTGGGAACGGCCATTAATTGCATCTACGTGGTTTGGCCTGAACGGTAGGCGACAACCCGTATTAATAGTTACAGTACCCCGTCAGCCTTATATTATATTACTCTTGCGTTTTAGGATCCAAATGCATTATGTCAGCAGGAATATGTATAACGAGTATGACAGGGCTTGTATTGGATTTGGCGAGATTTAGGTTTAATCTTGCGCCTGATTTAGTTACTATATTGTTAAACCATGGACAAATATGTAACGGGTTATTGTGAAATCTATTTATCAGCATTCACCCATTTAATAACACTTATCTCTAAATTTCCTTTGTTTTCTTCATGTTGATATATTTTTTTGTAAAAAACGGCCATTTTTTTAAAATATTTGTTTTGTTATTATTACATGTTATTAGTACTTTTATATTCGTTTTATAACACGTCAGGATTAGTCGAATTTCGTTGCTTGAAATTTTGACTTCATTTTTCTAAGGATATATTTGATTTGAACCTTTTTTTTTCTTTGTTTGACAGAGAGAAATCTGGTATCTTATAAATATTCCAGATATACAGGGTATCACGTAATCACCGTCCTTGACATTGCTTTTGCTTGGATCCTTGTTAAAGATGAAGCTTAAATATTATGCACATTGGGTTGCAAATTAATGTTTAAGATGGGGGGAAACAAAACGATATCAACTATCGATGAATCGTTGTTGAAGAAAGGGGGACTAATATCGTCAAAACTAGTTTATTAGAAACATATGTAAGCTTCGTTACGTTATCTATAACCTTTTACTCTCACTTTTTTTTCCAGCAATCAAGCTGGTTATATTTTTAATCACGCTTTCCTCGCTAATAATTCGTCAGGTTTCAACAACGTTTTTTTTTTCGTGCTTTAATATTAATATGCGCACCTGATGTGCATTTTTTTTGTTTCACTTTAATTAAGCTTCTTTAGATTATAGGTTATAGAACACCTGGTGTAATTTCTTTGAATGTACTTTATATTAAACAATTTTAACTTGAAATGCTTATCTTGCGATTTACTTCTATAAAATAATTCTAATAATTATATTTAATAGACCCTAAATTCTACAAATAATTTTCACAAATTGTGAACAGTATTAAATTGAGTTGCAATTTAATAGTACTAGAGTCAAATGCAGGGCATTGCCATAGGTGACGTTAATGGTGCTATAAACTATACATGGCGTAATAACATAAAGGAGAAAATCGAGATAAGGCATTAAAAGGGAGGACGTGTCACTAGAGAACCTTGGGGACATAGAACTTGTCTATTGATTATTTTTTTTAATTAATTCATTAATCATTTTTATTGTTTTATTTTATTTTTATCTGACAGCTTCGATTATTTTAATCTTTTTCCATTAACTACGCTTACTATTTATTTATTTATTTGGTTTTTGTTAGAACATAACTAAATGTATAGTTTTTTTTTTGTTGCCATATGCCTGTTTAGGCAGTGGGGGTGCAATTGTTCCTGTTTTTCAGTAGCGCCATCTATGGCCAGGAATTCGACTTCTGCCACTCCATTCACACAAGCACAACCCGTTTATAGGGCGGGTCACATTCACACACAAAGGATAAAGGACGTAGAACAAACAGAGAGAGAAAGAAACATCCATGCCTTGCCCGGGATTCGAAACCAGGACCTTTCTGATGCAAGGACAGTTCCCTGCCCCCTACACAGGCACAGGCTGGTCGGCGAATGTATAGTTGAAAGGCTCAATAACCGCAATCAACCACACTGAAACAAACAAAAAATTTATTGCATAATTTAGGAAAAAGTATCAAATAGTGCTGCAAATAATTTGTCGCTAAAAAAAGAAAAGAAAAGCACCCTAAGGTTGTTTTCTCTATAGAAATAACCAAATTGAACATATCTTTTTGTTTTCGTTCAATTGAGTGAATATTTTTTTTACATAATAGAATTATTCATTTTTTTCGAATCTCAAATGAATAGACTTACTTTTCAAATATTACGAATCAATCTCAGACTTCTAAATAATAAACTTTTAAAACTCATTAAACTCCTTATGAATATATTTTACCATTGCACATTAGAGTTTACATTCGTAAATTTGATCTGAAATAGAACTGCCCGAGAAACTAATCTATCTTCCAGAATTCTCCCTTTTCTCGAAGCGTGCATAATAATTTTCATGTCTGTGCTTCGCCATCAAAGATGTCAAGATGCCATACACTGCATTTAATTCCGATGCAAATTTTCCTTACCTAATATTTACCTCATAGCACCTTCCATCCCTGTGTAGTTGGCGAGGCG